TGTCCGAGTCCACACGCGCCAAGCTTAACCTGGCACTGGACTTGATACTCTCCGCCAGGAAGGCTGCGTGCCGGGGGTAAGCCCTGCCGCCCGTGGGGATGGGCGCACAGCAGCCCTCTTCATTGCTCAGCTCCTGCGGGTCGTGGGAGGGGGAGGACAAGGAGGACGTGTTCTCGCTGTCCGTGTGGGCGGAGCTCGTGTCTGCGGACTCAGTGTGCTCGCTGCTGTCGGGAGCCTCTCGGGCCGTTCTGTCCAGAAGGTCCGTGTAGTAGGGAAGGTCTTCCTCGCTCAGCTGGCTTCCCGGTGAGCACTTCTCTGGCTCCTTCTCCACCTCGGCCCAGATGGCCTCGCGGTCCACGGTGGTGAACTGGTTCAGAGGCACGCCTTCCTCCGAGCTGCCCTCGGGCACGCCACATGCCTCTTTGGAAGAGGTTTTCTTCCTGTTAAACCAACGATGCAAGTCTTCTGAAAATCACAAGATGACAAGCAACTTCAGAACAGAAGGGTGAGCTATGATATGTTCATTCTAGAGCAGTGGTTCTCAACCTTCCTAATGCCGCGACCCTTTAACACAGTTCCTCATGTTGTGGTGACCCCCAATTTCATTGTTACAAATTGAACATCATTAAAGCATAGTGATGAATCACAAAAACAATATGTAATTATATATGTGTTTTCCGATGGTCTTAGGAGACCCCTGTGAAAGGGTCGTTCGACCCCCAAAGGGGTCGCGACCCACAGGTTGAGAACCGCTGTTCTAGAGTGATCTTTGTCTTAAAGACAGACAGGTTACTATTAATAAAATTGCCCCCCCAAAATAAATTAAATAAAAAATAAAACTCCCCCATGAAACTACAGCACCAGAGTCTAGATTACATGGTGGACAAAAGGCAGACAAGTAAAGTGAGCAGGTCTTTTAAACTGTTCGAGCAATCAGCCTGGCTGGTGTGCTCCAGTAGTTGAGCATCAACCTATGAACCAGGAGGATCCCATTCCCGGGTCAGGGCACATGCCTGGTTGCAGGTTCGATCCCCCACATGTTTACAAAGTACCTTTCACACTGTCTGAATCTGACAAAATCACAAAGTGGGTCTAAGTGCCTTAACTGTCACGGCGGGCAGCAGGATCTACCGCCCTTCCCACCCTCCCTGGCCCGGGCACCCTGAGGACACAGAGCTGGCCCGGCTGCCTGGCATGGGGAGCTCACCCGCCGAGTTCTCCTGCTTGAGGCAGTGAATGGAAGTCCGCTGGGTTTTGGGCTGGAGCAGCAGCAGGAGCAAGGGCTCGAGGATGCGTGCCACGTCCCCGAGAGATAGTGCCCGCACCAGCCAGCCCTGGGCCGCCGCACCGATGGCACCGTCCGTGCAGGTCAGGCTGTCCAGCACCACGAACAGGGACCTGCGGGTGGAAGTGCATCATGAGGTCGGCCTGCAGCACCATGGGCAGGACACCCCCAGGGAGCTCACCCACGCTGGGCTGTGGGCCCCAGCAAACGAGGACCTGGGATTTAAACCCTGGATTCATGCTAGAATCAGCATGGGAGCTTTTAAAGTCCAGATCCCCAGGCCTGGCCGGTGTGGCTCAGTGGTTAAGCATTGACCTAGGAACCAGGAGGTCACAGTTCAACTCCCAGTCAGGGCACATGCCCAGGTTTCGGGCTTGATCCCCAGTAGGGGAGTGCAGGGGGCAGCCAATCAATGACTCTCTCTCATCACTGATGTTTCTATCTTTCTCTCCTTCTCCCTTCCTCTCAGAAATCAATAAAAATATATTAAAAATAAACAAACAAATAAACGAAGTCCTGATCTCCAGGCCTTGGCCCAATCGGTTAAATCAGACCAGGGGATGGGCCC